CTTGGTAGACCAGGCTGGCCTCGAACTCACAGAGATCCGCCTGCCTCTGCCTCCTGAGTGCTGGGATTAAAGGCGTGCGCCACCACCGCCCAGCTGGCTTTTATTTTTTAATATTATTGATTTTTATGGGTCTGTGTGTGCTCTAGTGTACATATGTGTGTAGGAGTCCTCAGAGGTCAGAAGAGGGTGTCAGATCCCCAGAACTGGAGTCACAGACAGTGGTGAGCCTCCATATGGGTCCTGGGAATTGAACCCGGGTCCTCTGCAGAAGCTATTGAGTGCTCTTAACATCTGAGCCATCTCTGCGGCCCTGACCTTGGACCTCTCCACGACCTCTGACCCAGCACTGGCCTCAGCATGGACCCCAACCCCAGCACAGAGTCCTTCAGTTCGAGCTTGGGCCCAGCTCACCTTGATGGCGGGCTAAGGAGACCCCACCGTGGTCCCCAGGCCCCTCCTCCTGATGCACCCCGGGAAGGGGTCGCCTGCCGAGGAAGACACAGCCTAGCTCCGGCCAGGCACCTCAGGCCCTGACTCAGGTCCCCCGGGGCCTGCTCTGCCACATTCCAGGACAACATGTCCACACACCGGGCGCCTCCCTGTCAGCCCCCACGGGCACCATGCGGCCTAGTGACCCCAGGGAGGCCCAGCAGGGGGACAAGGAACCCGCTTGGCCTCTACCCACACGCCAGCCCACGGGCATCCCGGGTGACCTCTGCCTGTAGTGGCAAGGGCGAAGGTGTGGCCGGCCGCTTCAGGACAATATCAGGGTATCCTCCTTCTTCCCAGGATTCACCCCCACCCAGGACTGAGCGAACCAGCCGCTATTCACATGGGGAAACTGAGGCTCACGGTCACAGGTCCCTTGCTGGAGGGTGGGCTGGGCTTCTCTGCCCAATTCTCCAGACCAGGGGGAAGGTGTCTGGGCTATGCCTGCCCTGTGGGACAAAGGGCAAAAGGTCAGAAGCCACTGATGGCCACCTCCACATGCTGAGGACTTGGGGGGTGACTCAATGTTGGGGACACAAAGACACAAGGGACCTGATGTAGCGGAACCTGGCTGTGGGGCGACGTCGGGTGAAGAGAACAGTAAAGACTCCGTTTGTAGACTCCACAGGCTACTGTGACTGGATAACTGGGACACAGACACCCCGGATCTGTATGTGAGAGCTGAGCTCGGGGAAGACTCGGCGTGGGAACCGCTGGTGAGCGGGTCATCACCGATCGGCACCAACCGGCTGACCCACCGACTGATGTCCCCCTTCAGAGCCGGTCACCCCGCCCAGTTCAGTTCAGCCGCGAGCCCTGAACGTCAGTCACCTCCTTCCCACCTGAGCCTCGGGGCCTCTCGCCAGGCTGTGCCCTCCGGGTGGGTTACCTCCCCTCCCTGTGCCGTTGCCCAGAAGCCTCCCAGCCCCCCTCACGTCGCAATATTAATCCCCCGTGGTCGCTGGCAGATTAGCCCCCCCCCCCCAAAGACGGGGACTCCCTGTCTTGCTTTTCCGATACCACCGAGGAGCGTAATCCGAGCTCTAAGGTTCCAGGGAGGAGGCTGGCAAGATGGCTCAGCTGGTCGGGGTGACTGCTACCAAACCCGATGACCTGAGTTCAAACCCAGCATCCACATGGTCGAAGTGACAGATTCCTGCACATTGACTTCAACTGGTGTGCTCTGTCTAATGTACACAAACAAAACCTTTTAAATGGCTAAATAATAATAATAATAGTGATGGCTCCTGAGGAATGATACCCAAGGAACATGTAAACCTGCACACGCATGCGTGCGCGCACACATGTATACACGTGTGCACACACACACACACACACACACACACACACACACACGCAGCTGGGGGGCAGGAAGTGTCTGCTCTCAGATGAGCTCCCTGTATTCTTGGGGTCCTTGCTCTCTTCCCGGGGCAGAAAAAAGGCTCAAACCCAGAACTAGTCAAGAAGATGGAGCTGGGGGCGGGGATGGGGAGCAGGGCCTGGTGGCCCACTGGTCATTCCGGCTCTTAGGAGGCTGACTGAGGCCAGCCTGGGCTACAGAGCAGGACTGTACCTCAAATAAACAGCAAAAGCACACAGCGGGCCCTGAGTGTGACTGGACGCTCCGAACCGTAGCTGACGGCGAGCTGGGAGAGGTGGCAGCTGGGTGGAAAAGACCTTGGCACGCTGGAACCCGTGGAGTAGCTGTGTCCTTCAGAACAGGTGGAAAAACAAACTGACCGTTAGACAGCGTCGCCCGGCCGGGCTGTAGCCCAGTGGTTAGAGCGCTTGCCCGGCACGCGGACCCTGGCTGGGGTCCATCTCAGCACCACAGAAACCCACACGGTGGGGCACCCTGTCATCCCTGCTCTTGAGAGATGGACGTAGGAGGGTCAGGAGTTCAAGGTCATCCTCGGATCCATAGTGAGTTTGAGGCCAGCCTGGGCTACATGAGACCTTATCTCAAAAATAAGTAAATACTAATAGGCCTGGGATAAACATCCCAGCACTTGGGAAGCTGAGGCAGGAGCATCATGAAGCCAGCCTGGGCTACATACGCAGAAGGAGACCGATCACCACCCAAAGTGCCACTCCTTAAGTTCTTTTTTATTCATTTATTTTTGTTTCTTTTTTATTCGTTTATTTTTGTGTCTGGGTGTTTCGCCTGCGCGTCTGCCTGGGCACCACGAGTGTGTCCGGTGGCCACAGAGGACAGATCGGGGCGTCGGCTCTCCGTGCTGGAGTGACAGAGGGCTGTGAGCCACCATCTGGGGCTGGGAACTCAACAGCGGGTTCCCTGGAGGTGGCAGGCCTGTGCCACCACACCCTGCTCCGTCCTTAATCAGCTTTTTAGGGGAGACAGCCCAGCCCAGCCCCCCTCGCCCCCCCCCCCTGCGCTCGCTAGCCCCAGCTGGCCCGTAGCTCTCCAGGCTCCTGCCTGAGCCTCGCCGGGCATCTCAGGCTTGCTCACCTCGCCTGTCTGAAAGGTAAGTTTTTGTGAAGAAGAAGAAGAAGAAGAAGAAGAAGAAGAAGAAGAAGAAGAAGAAGAAGAAGAAGAAGAAGAAGAAGAAGAAGAAGAAGAAGAAGAAGAAGAAGAAGAAGAAGAAGAAGAAAAATAAGGTATCTATCCGGGAAACAAGCGAAGGAAGAAATGTGTGGGTGCCGAGCGGAGGTGGGCTCTGGAGGGGGGAGGGACTTTCAGTTCTTTCTATGTTGCTGTGAGAAGTTGGTTCCACCCAGAGTTTACGACAGCTTTGCTCGCCGGTGTCCCCTGCGTTTTCTGTATGGTAGGTTTTGTTTCGGTTTATCTCTCCAGGCATGCCTGTGTTGTTTGCCTGTGGAGGTCAGAGGTCAACTTTGGTTACCCTCCTTTACTGCTCACTGACTTATTTATACCCTAAAAAAAAAATTATATTTAGCCGGGCGGCAGTGGTGGCGCACGCCTTTAATCCCAGCACTTGGGAGGCAGAGGCAGGAGGATCTCTGGGTTCCAGGCCAGCCTGGGCTACAGAGTGAGATCCAGGACAGCCAGGGCTACACAGAGGAACCCTGTCTCAGAAGACAAAACAAGAACAGCATATATACATACAATATGCATGGCGCACGCCTTCAATCCGAGCACTCGGGAGGCAGAGGCAGGCAGATCTCCAGGGTTAGAGAGTGAGTTCCAGGCCAGCCTGGTCTACAAGTCTAGACAGTGAGACCTTGTCTCTAAGTAAACAAATGAATGAATGAACAGATAAATAAAATGTCTTTATAGCCATGTGTGAGCATGCGCTTGTTCCACCATGCCAGCGTATCGGGAGAGGATAACTTGCGGGCATCAGTTCTCACCGGCCACCATGTGGGTCCCAGCACCGAATTCAGGCCACCCAGACCCTCCAACTTAGGTTTTTGAGACTGAACATAGAGTTCCCCAATTCGGCTAGACTGGGTGGCCAGCAAGTGCCTGGAGGACTTCCGGCCCTGTCCCAAGTGTGCACAGCCATACCCAGCTTTTTTTTTTTAATCTTTATTTTATGTGCATTGGTGCTTTGCCTGCATGTAAGTCTGTGAGGGTGTCATATCTTGGCATTACGGACAACTGTGACCTGCCATGTGGGTGCTGGGAATTGAACCCAGGTCCTCTGGAGGAGCAGCCAGTGCTCTTAATCACCGAGCGTCTCTCCAGCCCATACCCAGCTTTTGAAGTGGATTTGGGGCTTAAGCTTGGGTTCTCACGCCCGCATGGCAAACCGCTGACTGACTGTGCCGCTCCCCCCACCTCTCTCCCCCCGATTTTTTTTTGAGACAGGCCTACATAGCCCAGGCTGGCCTGCAAGGCAGTATCCTTCCGCCACAGCCTCCCACATGCTGGGACACGGGTGAGGACTCCCATGGCTGGTCTTTCCTGCAGAGGAGAAACGTGGTTTCTCCAGCACAGCCAGGTCACAGGGCTGTGGGCAGTCACAGGGGTCCTGGTCTCAGCTGTGGAGGCCGCCCCCCCCCCCCCGCAGGTGTCTGGGGATTGAGGAGGGGCAGTCCCTTCCAGGAGCCCGGGAGCCTAGGGAGGGCCCCTATAGCCACACAGGAGGAAGTGGACCGCGGGGCCCAGGGCTCGGGCCTCACCGTTGATCTCTTAGGAAGGGCGGGGAGGCCGGAGAGATGCTCAGTGGACAACTTGCTGCCCTGAATTCCGCTGCACCTGAGTTCTCATCCTGGCCCCTGTGTCAGGCCTCACCTAATCCGTTGTAAACCCAGCTCCAGGGGATCCAGCGCCCTCTTCTGGCCTTCAGGGACACTGCGCTCAAGAGGCAGACAGACAAGTTCACGGCCACATAAATAAAATAAACAAATAACCTTATAAAAAGTTGGTGGAAGCAGAGGCCAAACTCAGACCTCTACGCATCCGTGTGACTTCCTTGTCCCCTGGCTGTCCGGGTGGGGGCAGGGGTGTCCAGGTCCCTTCCAGCCACAGATGGCCCCCAGGTAGAGTGCTGGGTCCCAGTCTAGCATGTAAACTCTGTGTCATGGACCAGCCTGGGCTACAAACAGATTGAGACCCTGTCTCAAGATAACAAAACTAGAGACCAGGCCTGGTGCAGACAGGAAGGTTAGGAGCTCAAGGTCATTCTGCAAGGACATGTGATCCCCTGTCCTTCCTCTTCCTGTTTCTTGGGCGTCATGGCCTCTGCTGACCACAGGACCTTTGTATTTGTGCCCCTTGCCAGCACCACCTGCTGGGTTATTAGATAATAAAAATATATTTATTACATTTTATTTATTTGTTTGTTTTTTACGAGACAGGGTTTCTCTGTGCAGCCCTGGCTCTCCTGGATCTTGCTCTGTAGCCCAGGCTGGCCTTGAACTCACAGAGATCCTCCTGCCTCTGGCTCCCAAGTGCTGGGATTAAAGGCATGCGCCACTGCCGCCGCCCGGTTCATTTGTTTTGTTTTGTTGTATATATGTGTGTGGCACTCGTGCAGGACTTGGTTTCCCCCCGCCCCCCGGGAATTGAACTCAGGTCATCGGAGTTGGCAGCAAGCACCTCTCCCTGCTGAGCCCTCTCGCTGGCCCTTATTCACTATTTTTGCTTCATACTCAGCGACCTGCAGACCCCTGCAGACCCTGCGTGGAGTGGGAGGAGAGGAGGGCTCCCGTCAAAGCTCCCAGGAGTGAGTCTGAAGGCCACACAGCCCCAGCTTCCGGGCCGCGGACTTTGGGGTCCCAGGCAGGGCGCGCAGCAGCTGCAGGGGCTCAGAGCGGTGTGTGGTGTGTGGGCTGCAGCAGCTGGGCCACCCACCCCCACTGGCGGGGGAGGGGAGCCGAGGCGGCAGCTGGTGGCTGGCACAGGGCCAGAGGGAAAGGGGCCGCAGCCTCCGCCTCCGCGGGGCTCCCCCGCCCTCTCACTCGAGACAAGGCTGGCCTTGAACTCTCTGTGTAGCTAAGGATGACCTTGAATCCACGACCCCCTGCCTCCATTGGCAGAAAGCTGGGATGACAGGTGTGAGCCCCACGGCCAGTTCTGTGTGTCTCCGCCTTTCTGTCTCTCTGTGTCTCTCTCTCTCTCCCTCTCTGTCTCTCTTTCTCTCTCTCTCCCTCTCTGTCTCTCTTTCTCTCTCCCTCTCTGTCTCTCTGTCTCTTTCTCTTTCCCTCACTGTCTCTCTCTTTCCCTCTCTCTGTCTCTTTCTCTTTCCCCCTCCCTCTCTCTCTTTCTCTCTCTCTGTCTCTCTCTCTTTCCCTCTGTGTCTCTCCCTCTCTCTCTTTCCCTCTCTCTGTCTCTCTCTCTTTCCCTCTCTGTCTCTCCCTCTCTCTGTCTCTTTCCCTCTCTGTCTCTCTCTGTCTCTCTCTCTTTCCCTCTGTGTCTCTGTCTCTCTCTCGACCCCTCCTTGGCTGCGCTCTGGCCCCTGGCTTTGGCCCTTCCATGTGCCGCCCTATGTAGGTGACTGAGCCGGGTCAGCCGCAGGTGACCACAAAGGCTCCCCTCCTGGCCGCAGGCTGGGGGTGGGGGTGGGGCGACCTTGTGCAGCCTGAGTCTGGTGTCTGCCATGGGAGACAGGGCTGTTCCGACTTCGTGGTCCGTGGCTGTTGGAGAAGCGTGGTCACACAGGTCGCCCCGCAGACACTGGAAGCTGTGGCCAGGTGAGGCTGGGCCAGGGTGGGGCTGACGCCAGGCACTGGCCTGGAGGCCTCAGCCACCCTTGGCCAAGCTCCCTTTCCCGCCTCTGCTCCCAGGGTGGGGTGGGGGCTGGGTCGGGGTGCTGTCCTCATTAAAGCCCTCTCAGTGAGCTGCACCCCAGTACAGCAGCACCCCGACCTCACAGTCCGCAGAGCCCATCACTGGGGGGGGGGGGGGCTGTAGCACAATCCCGCCTCATTTGCATGTTTGCGTGTGACCCAGGCTGCCCGTGACTAGAACCTGCCAGCGGTTGGGTCTGGCCTTCCTCGCTGGCCTGGGGTTCCGGGGTCCCTGGCCCTGCTGGGAACCCTGGCCGCTGGGGTGCTCGGGGACGCCCTCCCCACACTGACCTTGGGATCTCCACCTCAGCTCGCGCTGGGGGAACCAGAGTTCTGAACTTTGCTTCAAGCTGTCTCTTCTGAAAACTCCAGGTTTTGGAAAGCTACGAACTGGAGATCAGAATCCATCTGGAACCCCTTGGGGGCCCAGGAGACCCCAAACCCCACAAATGTCCCCCCACCCCGTCCATTCAGGACAGAAGCCTGGGCGCCCCAGCAGCCCAGCCTTGAGACCTTGGTGAGCGCCAGCCGCAAGGCCTTGGATCTGCCTCCACCCCTTCGCTCTCTCTGCAGAGGCCGCATGGTAACTTGAGACCATTGGTCCGCATCCGCTGAGAACCTGCGGCGGGCACAGAACTGTGAGGCCACACGCTGTGGCCACCGACTCTAATCCAGACCCCGGTCTCCAGGGCCTTCTGTGTGCACCCGGGCCCAAGACGCCACCTGCTGGCGTCTCCACTCGTGGCCGTGGGTCACCCTGGGAGCAGGATCCCGTCCGAGGGTTTCTGTCGCTGTGACCGAAAGCGCCTCGGGAGGCGAGGGTTTGTTTCCATCGCGAGGGAAGCCGGGCAGGACCCGAGGGAGCGGATGGCGGCCGTGGAGGAACACTGCTCACCGACCTGCTCCCAGGGCTGCTGGACCCGCTGTCCGGCACAGCCCAGGACGGCCCGCCCGGGGTGGCCACGCCTACAGTGGGCGGGGCGGGGCGGGCCCGCCCCACATCAATCATCATCGAGAAAAGACACACCCACGGGCCAACATGTTGGGCGCGTTTTCCCGGCTGAAAGTCCCTCCTCGCAGATGACTCTGGCTCGTGTCAGGGACACAGACACTAACCAGGACACAGCCCCACTGCCACTGCAGGGGAGGGGTGGGCCGGGGAAGCCTAGGGGATGCGAGGCTGACTCCCCCAAACCAGAGCCCACGCGGACGCAGGGATGGGGGCGTCCTTCCTGTCTGCCCTGCCTTTGACCCCTGCAGACCCTGCTCCTGACCCCGCTCCTTCCCGCTCGTGTTCCGTGAGACCACGCCACACTCCGGCCCCGGGAGGGAGGCGGAGGTCGCCCCGGGTAACCCCAAGGGTCCCTGGAGGGCCTGGCTGGCGTTCAGCATCTGTCCACTAGATGGCGGACGACGCTCGGAAACGCACGCGCAGGGCGCCCGGGCGCGCCAGGCCCCTCTGCAGACGCGGGGCTCGGAGCTCGCGTGTTCAGATAGTGAATGCGCGCCTCGTGCATGCCGCGAGCGACGCCCACGCGGAGATCCACCACGCTCGAGGGTATCTCAGCAGGCATGCTTGCGTTTACACGGCGTGTTGGTGCATGCACACTCATGTTGTGTGCATTTATGTCCTGGAGTGTCACGTCATCCTCACATTCCATGCATAAGCCCGCGTGTCCTCTGTGCCGGGCCATCTTTGTGCTGGGAACGTCGCCATGTGCATGGTGGGCCCTCATGGACTCCCCAGCTGCAGCTGGTACATCCCTTACCTCAGCTCATGCGCCCCGATATCCTACACACACACACACACACACACACACACACACACACACACACACACACACAGATTCCCGGGTCCCTTGCCTCCGCTCTTCATAACCTCGATCGTGAGCACAATCCATGCCTCAGTTTACCTCTGTTGTCGCAGTTTCCTCCATGTGAAGTCTGACAAGGCTGAGAAGCCAGATTCGTGGCTCCAGCGCTCCCTGGTACCTGAAGTCGGCCACGCGGTAAACCTGAGGCTCGGTTGGCTAAAGGATATGCCCAGCAGCTGAGGTGATAATGGAAATCCCCCTGACTCGGTTCTACAACGTGATTTCCAGGGAACGCCTGCCAAGTAGAGACCAGGCTTGGGGCCAGAGGAGGGAGCTCTCTGCTGGGTGTAGCAGGCCGAACTCCTATTCACCCTGCAGGGTCCTGGGACATTGGCCTTCCATCTGGAAAGCCTCGGGTGGCCTTCTGGGGTGAGTGTAGTACAGGCTGTCAGAGGAAATCAGTCATCGCGGGTGCCTCTGGGTGGCCGCTGGTGGACTGAGCCTGCAGACGGGAGCCTGTGTTCGGCTGACCCGCAAGCCGCTAGCGGTGCATGGGTGCCGATTCCCAGAGTCCTCGGTGGCGGTCTTCACACAGAGAGCAAGCTGTCCAGGTCTCTGACCTGGGCCCTGCCTCTTCTGGCCACACTCTCTTCCTCCCTCCCATGTCCGCTGTCACCCCTGGTGGACATAGGCCGTCTCCTTGGCAACGGCTGCCACCGGGTCAGCTGTGCCATCGACCGCACATCGGCCTTACAACCCCGACACCGGACCCGGATGATGATGAGGTTGGGAGTCAGCTAGGGTGTCAGGGGGGACCTGCGGGTCAGCAAGGTCGGAGGGCTACCCCGGGCCTCAGTTTCCCCGTACACTCAGTCTCTCCGACCTCATCTAGACTCTGCTGCGTCCAGGCCTGGTCACTTGCTGTGTGGACGGCGGTCTGGCTGGAGGGAGGCTCAGGCTGTCAAGTAGACAGGGTCAAGGGGTCACTGGAAATGAGCTGAACAGCAAGCCACGGCTCCTGAGCAGGCAACAGAGCTGCTTCTAGAAGATTCCGTCAGCCCAGCCCAGCTTCCAGAACCTTGCACACCTGCTGATTCTGGAGGTTCCGCCCACCCTTGCCTCTGCACAGCTGGTCCCTCCAGATGCAGACAGAGGTGCAGTGGGCAGGCGTGGGGGATCTGCATGGTCCCTCTGGGAGACAGGGGGCTCCTCTGGAGCTGGTGGGGGAGCTGAGGAGCACCAGGCGCGGTCTTTTTCAGTAAATGCGTCTGAATAGACCCCGGGATGAGGTTGGGGTGGGGGATGCCCAGGAGGAAGGCTGCAGAGAGGGGCAGAAGCCAACGCCCGCTCTCTTCCCTCAGTTTCCCGTTTGGGCAGACCCACAGACAGTGTTGGGTCCTAAGGGCCCTGACGTTTCTGATGGGTCAAGCCGCTTGCCTGGGGCCACACAGCCAGCAGGTGGGGGCCATGGAGGACATTTTTGCTGACTGAGGCTGAGAGACCCATCCCCAATGGCCAGGCAGGCTGCTGGCCCTTTAAGAGCCTCGTTTTGGCGCTGCCTGGGGGTTATTGATTGGAGCCTTGGAAACGAGATTAGATTATTGGGCTGAGAACGGCAGCCTGGGGGCCTGGGAAAGAGGAGGGCTTCTTGTAAACGGCTCCCCAGGGTACTAGGGGCTCATTTCTAGGAGCCTCCCAGATCCCATATTCCCTGGGACCCTCGGTTTGGAAACTGAGGCGCAGAGTGGCTGCATCTTTCTCCAAAGTGGCCTGGCCAGGAAATGGCATCGATACGCGCCTTTACGGGGTATTCAGTGTGCAGCAAGCCTGGGATGCTAGAGCAATCCTCCATTTGTCTGATTCCTGGTCTTGTGGGGCTGTGTGTGCCTGGGAGGGGAGAAACCAATCCCATTCCACAGAAGGGGAAACTGAGGTCCTTAGGGAGGTGGTTCTGTGTGTCTCCAAACACTGAGTGAGAGGGTTCGAATACAGCGGGAACCCGGTAATGCACAGCTGGACTGAAGTTCCGACCCAGCTTCAGGTGCCCTGCCTCTAGGTATAAGGGGGACCCTGAGTTCTCCCACAGCTTTCTAAGGTTCCTAACCCACCCAAAGTGTGTGCCAGCCCCTCACGGACTCCCTCATTAGGGGCCCAGGGGCCCTGTCACCAGCCAGGAAGAGCCTCCTAGAGGCAGCCACCGATACCCAGAGCCGTAACAACCAGGAAGAGCCGGCCCTTTCTGCAACTGAGGATCTGAGCTGTGAAGACGTGTCTGCCCCTCATCGGTTCCTCTGCCACCCCAATGTCCCCCTTCAGACCCAGGGATCCTGGATCTTGAACAGTGATGAAGGGTAGAGAAGGTTCAGGAGACATCAGGGTTCCTGCCAGCAGCCAGCTCGCTGCCTTCCAACCACCCGGGAGGACTCCAGGGACAAGCAGGGCCTGGTATCTGTCCAGGGTCACAGGTGGGGAAATGAGGCCCCGCAAATCGCAAGACCCAGGGGTTGGATGCAAGCCTTCAATCTATTTTTGTTTGTTTGTTTGTTTTATTTATTATGTATGCAGTGTTCTGCCTGCATGCATCTCTGCAGACCAGAAGAGGGCACCAGATCTCATCACAGATGGTACTGAGCCACCATGTGGTTGCTGGGAATTGAACTCAAGACCTTTGGAAGAGCAGCCAGTGCTCTTAATATCTGAGCCAGCTCTCCAGCCCTTGTTTGTTTGTTTTTGAGACAGGGTCTCATGTAGCCCAGGCTACCTTCAACTCCAGACTCTGTTGCCTTCACCTCCCAATCCTGGGATGGTAGAGACAAACCTCCACACCTGGTTTCTGTGGTGCTGGGGTGGAATTCAGGCCTTCCTCCATGCCAAGCAAATAAATGCCCTATCACTGAGCCCAAAACCCAGCCACAGCCCTCTGCCCTCCTCCACGCTGTCCTAGAACTCTCTCTGTAGCTCAAGCTGGCCTCGAACTCACAGAGATCTGCCTGCCTCTGCCTCCAGCGTGCCCTATCCACTTTTAAAGCATTCAGAAGAACCAGGCCCCAGTGGACCCCAGGCAACTGACCAAAGAGGGAGTCCTTTAAGCAGCAGAAGAGACCAGGCTGGGGAAGGAAGGTCTGGATCCTCAGGGCAGCTGGGATCTGGGGGCGCTTCCCCAAAGAGGAATTTTTAAAAATTAATTATGTGTCTGAGTGTTTTGCCTGTATGCATGTGTGTGCACCACATGTGTGCCTGGTGCCCATGGCAGCATTTGGAAGGAGTCGTGGGATCCCTTGGGACCGGAGTTCCGATGGTCCCTATGCCAGGTCTCTCTCTAGCCCCTGAAAGAGGCATTTTAGGTTGTTGCATGAGAAGAGCTGAATTCTTGTCAAGACAGAGAACGTGGGAGAAGAGGGTCCTGCTGTCTGGGGTTTTGTGCAGCACCCTGAGAGGGAGGCTCATCTTCTGGCATGTACTGGAGAGTGAGAGATTGGGTGTTGAAGTACCCAGGGTTTGCACAGGATAGGCGGGGCTCCGCCATGACCACGCCCCCAGCCCCTCACTGGGGGATTCTAGGCGGGGCTCCACCCTGACCACGCCCCCGCCCCTCAATAGGGGATTCTGGGCCGGGCTCCACCCTGACCACGCCCCCAGCCCCTTACTGGGGATTCTGGGTGGGGCTCCACACTGACCACGCCCCCAGCCCCTCACTGGGGATTCT